TGGACAGTGTATGCTCACATACTCGGAGAATATATGTTTGGTCTGATGCTCAATAAAATGGCTTCTGGTCCTAAACCTTAAGCCCCTGCTCCTTTCGATGCCTCCCACACTGCTTCTGAGAAGCCTGCACACAGTCCCTGAACAGCTTGCAGAACCCAAGAAGTTTCTCTAAGCCAGGCAGAGTATTACAGATACCTATCAGAACTTAGTGCAAATTCTAGTGCTTGCTACACATTCCGCACAGATTGTGCTAATGCCATTAATGATTATTAATTATCACTTGTGCTAACAGCAGTGCCGAGAGCCTTTGGTCAGGCACCTTTTCAGGCTCAGAGAGGATGAATCCTTTTGTAATCTGTAGGGCAAAATTCTGCCCTCACACACGTGTGCAGCTGCTGATGAAGCCAGAGAGAGTTATAATCACATCCCTGAGAACGAACTGGGCCATTAGAGCGATAGGGCTATGACACAAAACTGCATCTTATGAATATGTAGAGATGCGCTTATATAAGCACGAGAGCACTGCTTTTGGTACATACATATTTTATGAATAATTTCATATTGCAGGGAGATGCAATCATAGCATGACATTTCTAGGTGATTTTTCCCAGAATCCTTCCATAGCACTGACAAGACTTCAGGCAAGAGGGCCTGAAATTATGGCTGTTGGAGAAAAGCAGCAGCTCTCTGGCAAAGAGGCTTCTAAACTTGACTGCTTTATCCAGTGGTTCCTTACTACAAAATTCCTTAGTACAAATAGACTTAGATGTAGTCGCGCTTTGCATGTCTCCAGACACCAAAGTACTTTTCTGGATCTGAGCCTTTCCCTCGCTCTGCTCCAGTTGCCCACGTGCACATTTAAATAACAGCGCTGCCCTGCCTTTCAGTTGTGCTTAGAATACAACCACATTAAAAGCTGGGAGACTCGGAAGGGCAATGTTAGTAACAGAAATCTTTGTAACTAACTTGGATATTTTCCTGACTTTCAGAAAGGGATGATTTTCAGTTATCCCCTCAAATATGCCATTTTAAATTTAGAAAGTGTGCCTCATGATAAACCAGTAGCCATATAAGCCTATTTCTGCACATAAGTCACAGTGTGTAATAGGAATTGCCCAATGCTCATAATATTTACACTTTCAGTGGCCATCAGGTCAAGGATTATTTCTAAAAATGTAACCTTTATGATAAATATGTTTAAATTTCTGCAGCCTGTTCACAGAGAAGCCGCAAACAGAAATAAGGATAAAAATAGTCAGTGATTGTGAATATGGATTATAAAATGATCATGCCAAAAAAGACAGACCTACCCTAAATGTTGAACTTAATGTATGCAGGTGAGACCTTTGCAAGTCAGTAAGTGCTGGCCAGTAAATGCTATTTTATCTATATTTCTTAAATTATTTCATTAGCCACTTTGCTGTTTGCTCAATAATATTCTCCAGAGAAATATGTACTAGATTGTATTAGAGCAGATGACTGTTAGAAAGTAGGATAATCATCTGGAATATCATATGGGAAATAAACATATTCACAGTATAAGCAATGATGCTTGCAGAAATGTGAAACTGTGAATTGCTAAATTCTCGGCTATGGGACTTTATCTAATGCAGCAAGTAGAATAAAACCGATTCTGCAAATAGGTACAGGTATGAAGCACCTTCGGAAACATTTTGAAGATTTCTTGGTTGATATGGAAGATTCCACTAGTATCCACTTCGTACTTGAGTTTAGCCCCCAAGGGAGTATTTTTCTGGGTAGTGAACAGAAAGGTAGGGGCATTGCAACATCTTGACAAAGTAGACCTGTAAAATGAAGAAGAGATTAATTAAAGGAGTTGATAACATGCTTTAAGAGTAGCAATTAGAATGGAAAATATCTCTGAAATGCAGCTGACATAGCATTCGTTGTCAAAACTTCTTTTTAATTGTACAAGAGATAATGATAAGCTATGAGATGAGTCCTCTGTACTGGCACTGCTTTAGGCTGCAGGAAATGCATGTGCAAACTCTGCTCTGCTCCAGCCCACAAAACTGAGCTTCTTCCATACCCCAGGAAAAAAACATCCTAATGAATTAGGCCCTCTCTGCCTTAGAGGTTTTGCACCTTCTATAAATCATTCCCTAGGCACTGGGCAGGAAACCTGGGGATCAAAAGCCAGATAGGGCAGGGACTTAAACACAGCAATGCCTAAAGACACTACTCACCTACCAAAGTGGAACATGATACACCTTGATTAGAAAAGACTTCTAAAGGCCTTGGTTTTGCCCTTGGCTTGCAAATCCCCTTCAGGGGGATGATAGAGCACAGACAGACTGGTGTCAAAGAGACTGGACAGGCTACAACTGCAGAATCTCAGATAAATAGACTAGATTTTCATTTTCACTATGACAAAATGACAGGTATTTCAATGAAAACACAAACAATTTTGAAATCTTAAAAATGGGATTCAAGGGGTGAGAGAAAATCCATTCCGCTCTAATCTCTTTTCTCTAAGATTCATGTGAAACTTAAATAGGAAGAGCAGCTTGTCAATTAGGGGTCCACTTCTTAGCTCCCATTTTTCCATGAATGCCTTTCTTCTATTATTGCTGTAACTGAAAGCCAACTCACTCTTACTCCACTGCCTATTTGTTTCTCAGCCAATGCATCTTATAACTTAAATGAAAAATACATATTGTAGTGCGAACTTGAAGACAAAGCCAAATGGCTCTCACATATTCTGGATTAAATACCTTACCTCTAGAGTATGTATCCCCATTAAGAGTAGGAAAAATAAACCAGTGCAGTTTTATTACAAGCATCAGAATGGAAACACAGAATTATACAAACATTTCAGTGATGCCCAACTACTATTATATACTTGACTCATGGAGAATGACACAGTATGAGGATCAGATCAAGTCAACAACTAATATTGAGTGAACTGATGAATAATTTTGAATAAACAAATAAATAAATAACTACGAGCAAGTAATGGAATTGCATTGTGAAGTTTGAGATATTAAAAAAACCCTCTTCTTCATTAAGGAATTGCAAGAGGTGCTGTTCTTTGATCTAATGTCCAACTAATTTTCCAGAGGCACATTCCTTAACGTGTATGTCTGATCTCTCATGGAAAAAGATTGCCCAGGAAATTGTTTTCCTTTCTCTAAAGTTAAAAAAGCTAGTGTGATTTTCATGCTTCATCCCCACCTGCTGCTCTTCATAGCTGCCTTTTAACTTTCCTGGCTTCCCTCCATCTCACGAGGCCCAACACTTACCTCTTAACACATCTACTAGTTTAACTCCAAACTTGAGACTTTTGTCTGCTTTTATGGGACTACAGTTTCCTCACACATTCACTCACTGATGTTTCTGTCCCATAAGACAAAAATGAAAAAGACTCTGAACTTCCCTGTTTTCCTGATTCCTGTGATTATTTTTCATAGAACCAGCTAATGAAGGATTGATTATATCTAGATGCTGATCAGCATCTTAAGCAGTGAGAGATCAATCAATTTAGCCAGTGACAGGAGTATTTCATCTCTTCTTTCTCCCAATACCCTGAGCAGGATGGAGTGGGGCACTTTGCTTAAAGTGCTGGTGTTGGTAGTCAGTGTTGGTGGCCTCAGAGAGAGTGTTAGTCCTCCAGGTGGTCTTAGATAATAATTTCTTATCAATCCCACCTCCAGGCTGAGCTCCATACTTCAACATGCTCACTGCACCCTATACACAGTCATTAAAACCAGTCCTCTTACTCCCAGCAGTCTTTAAGCCTTGACCAGGATAGTAAACTCTAATTCTGGTCAGGTCTTCTCTTGCAAAATGGACTCTGATAGTTGCCCATCAGATATTTTTCAGAAAAAAAATACACCAAAGAAATCCCACATGTGGAGTTCATGTTGGAAAACCTGATATGACACTTCCACCTGGGACTACTGGTTACTTCTAATGATGCTAAGGGCTAAACCAGTATATCCATTCTCACATTCTCTCTTTAACTCATAATAGCTAGTACCTGGAATCATGAAAGAGAATAAGGGAGAAAGTGGTAGGGCCTTATTCTAAACAGCAGCTCTGAATCATGTCAATGACTTGTAGACTTGCCAGTCTATATTCCACTTACTCTGAAATAATCTGCTTTCACTGTATCTACTCAACTAAAGCTGTACATGCTGAATAAGACCTTCGGCAAAGAGGAGGTCATACAAAGATAAAGTATTACAGAAACAAACTGCAAAGGTGTCTGAAGACTAGAAGAAGCATTTATAGATAGTCAAGGAGTACATAGTGTCAGTACACTATGCAAAAACTTACGCAGTACAGAAAAAATCTAGTTTGAGATTTTTGTAGACCAAATTTTCAGTGTCACCAGTGATATCACCATTTTACATCACTAGAGTTAGGCGCATGGGTAAATGCATGAGGTGTAAAGATTAGCTTTTGGCTCCTGCCTCGCTTCTGCATGAATCATACTCAGGAAAGCCTTTCCCATGACAAATTCTTTGCCTTTGCTGGGACGACTGTCCCACATGCCCCCAAAGTTCTCTTTCACCCTTGCTGTTGACTTTTTCAAAAGTAAGAAAAGTTTATATTTATTCAAATGGACGATTCTGCTTCAGTTGCAGTGTTATATTGCCTACTCTGGCAATTCATGTGAAGGTTTCCCCTCTCTATAACAAGCTAAAGTCAGACTAATGTAATTCTTACTCAGTCTCATTAATATGAACCATTCTTACTTGAATAAGTTAGCCTCTGTGACATTCATCTCCCATTTGCACATCTGTAGGCTCTTCCACCTGTCAAACAGTTCAGTTTGCTTCACCCTAAAAGATAAAAAGAAAGAAAATCAAAATTTACTCTATTACAAGGCATTCAACTCCTTCACTCGCTGCAGTATAGGGACCAGGCCTGGGGAAACTAGTTAGCCCACCAAGTTCAAACAATATCATTCTTTTTATTTCTTCTTAGAGATGTCAACTCTGAGCCAAGTATACAATGGTACTGATGGAGCTCTTCAGATGTCTGCAACAGTTTCTATTCCTCGATAGCCATGCTCCATTTATTCAGGAGAGAAGAGGACATATTGAGCAAGAAGTATCTACCGCATCTAATTTTGCTGGAAGCCTCCAGGGAAGCTAACAAGTCTGCCAGCTATTGTGTTTTTGGGGGGAAAATTGTGCTTAGCAAGAAGGCCCAGCAGGTATTGGTAGAGAAGATGCTTTATGTGGTTTGCCAACTATTGTTATTGGAGGCTTTCCTTATATTTTGAGGAGTATATAAATCCATCCTACAAAACAGAGGTGTTGGTAAATCCATTTTACAACTGGGATAGTACATGTAGTGACAGGTATGTGTGAGGGTAAGAGGGCATGGAAAGCTCTTTACATAAGGATTTCTCCCTCCATCTCTCTTCAATAAATATGTCTTCAGATATATCAGTGTCACATCTACTTTCTCTAGTTTGACACGCAGTGACACTTTTTTTGGTATCATGAGCTAGTTTCATTTTCATCCTCACAGTAATACTTTTCTGATGTATTACAGTCAAAGACCAGTGTTCAGTTTAATAAATTGCCTTGTAGGCCATGGATTTAACATTACAGCCAAGTGCAGGCTTCAGTTCTGGGTGAGGGACTGGGGAGAGCCATCAAGTGGAGGAACTTCCAGAAAACACGCTTAAGGCAATGAAAAGTTCTTTAATAGTTAGTAATTTCATGGAAATATGACCCAGAAAAAATATGTCTGTAGATCTGGCAAGTAAAGGTCAGTGTCTTGAATCTCCTGGACAAAAGAAGTGGAGAAAGCTGAAGAAACTGATTCTACTTTAGAGTTCATACATACTCTTCCACATTTGAATAACATAAATAACTAAGGCCTTGCAAACATCTAGAGCTACAGAGCAATGCCATGTACTGTCTGTGATATTTCGAAATCTGAGATTTCTTAAAAGACTGACAGATCTTAATGTGTTCTTTTCAGATTTGAGGGCTTTGAATGTCTAAATAAAGCAAAGATTTTCGAGATAATTATATATTTTAAATGAATATACTTTAGGATTTCCCAGGCTCTGGAAGTCACAGAAAGGAATTAGGTCATATTGTACTTTCCGTGGCTCATGGGAGCATGTTATCTTAGAAAACTTCCATTACTGTAAGGAAGGGCTGACTTAGAAAATGTAGATATTTTGCAAGCACATTAGAAGGATCCAGCATAGTAAAAAGAGCTCACTGTGAAATGGTGTCAACTGCACAAGTAAGGCTGACTCTATCCAAATGAGTGGGAGTCCACAAACATCTATGTGCCATTGGATAAGATGAAGAGAGATTAATAATCCTCTCTACCATCTGATAAGTATGGAGAAATGCAATAAAAAACTCACTATCTTCAGCAGAACATTGGTAGAAATGTCAAATTCTCACCCCTTCTATTTATTTTTAAGCAATGCAAGTCAGCAAGCAGTGCGAAGTCATTACTTGTGTATCCTTCATCCAGTATCATAAACAGAAGACAAGGATGTAACCTACATTTTTCTGTGCACAAAGTCAGTGAGGGAGATATGCTCAGAATTCATGTAGACCTGGAGCAACAAATTCCATTTGCCTTGATTGCTCTTTTCATTAAGACTGATGCGCTTGTATAGCACCTTTCAGCTGAGATTCTCAAAGCACTTTACAGGCATTAGTAAGTCTTGTGGATTGTAGGCAAGAATACTAAATATGAAAGCTACTGGTTTTAGACATAGTAAAGGATTAAGCATACTCTGAGCACCTAAATACAGAAAGATGTAAAAGGATAACATGAAAATATCCTGATTTTTCTATTTAAACCCTGGAATGCCTGAACTCTATGGGCAACCTTATTTATCTGTTTCATTCCATCTCTATGGTTTCACAGTTATGTCTCAGGCAAAGTTCTTTTCTTTTTTTTTTTTAATGTGCTTATATGACCAAAGAAGATAAAATAAGGATATTGTATTATGTGTCAGAATTACAGTTTCCTCCTTTTGCACTGTAAACTTCTGCAACTTATTGTCACAGGAGATTGTAGACATCAAAAGTATAATTGGGCTCAGAAAAGACCTAAACAAATTAATAGAAAATAGGTACATTTGTGAGTCTGACTGCAGTGGTATAGACTCTACCTATAGCTCAGAGTCCCCATGCCAGTATTTGTTACAAGGATTCAACTTCATTTTGCTTCATTTCTTAGCCTTCACTATTGGCCACTGTCAATGACAGAGTATTAGGCTAGATGGGCATTTACTGTAAGCCAGTCTAGCTGTTGTTACCACTGTATTACCCTCACTAGAGGGCCTAGAATATACTATTACAGGCAATATTATAAACACGGTATTTAATTCCAGCTAGTGATACTGATGGAAATTCCTCAATTTGTGTGAAAAGCCTCCAACAATTTCCAATGGACCTCAGATCATACCGAAATGTCACTACTTGCACATATAACAGAACCTCAGAAATCTTTGATGAGATGAAATCTCTTTCCATGGGATTTCTTTAGCCTTGCATCTTTGACAACCTTGTAAGTTATCATTTTATCCTACCAGAAAGGTGGCCAACATTCATTCATACTTACATAGACAAAACCTTCACTGCAATGATATCCTGCCGTAATTCCAGACATTTTGTGGAGTTGTATTCCAATGGCCCTTCATAAAACTCAAAATACCTGAAGGAGAAATAAGAACCAAGGTTATAAGTAAGCCCTAGACTTGCAAACATATCTTATGCATCAAGGGGAATGTGCTTCAAGTTATCACCTGTGATCTGCCTAACTTAACACTACACTGTCTGACATAAAGGCAGGGTCTTATATCAAGAAAAGAGAACAAGTTATTATATCAAGAAAGCAGAACAACTGCTCATATCCACCTTGTCCATCTCTTTAGAAATTCAAATGTGAATTGTAAGATGTTCAAAGGAGAGAACTCAGCAATTTTCATTTAGTTAATCTGAACTAAGTTATTAGAATGCATTTGACTCAGTTGACACTTATTTAGGTTGTATGTGGCTACGTTTCCAGGAGACTTCATGTCCCTTGCAGGCACCAGCAAGGACTAGTTAGATTTCCCAGCAGTCAGCTCATGGCAGCTGTGATTGAAAGCAGGGAAAAATAGTGATTATTTAGGGAATATCATCCCCATCCTCTGGGTGTCTCAGTGTATGTGGAGAGTTTAATAAAAATTTCCTTAAATTCGGTTCTTAGGATAAAAGCAAAATGCTGGAGGTTGCATCGTCTGTGGAGTCTGTTGCACAATTCTACACAACTGAACTTTCTCTAGGCTTTACTTTCCAGGTACATTTTGAGGGGAAGAGGAAGTTCCTTGTTAAAAATTAGTATGCTTTTGAGAAAGGATTTGATGCTCATGCATTTTGCAAATGACAATGCAACTCTTAATTAAAACATAGGTGTCTACTTTTCTGTTTAAACTGCTCCACCTTAGCCCTCAAAATGGGGTATAAAACAAAACTGTAGCAATTCATGCTATGGATCAAAGGAAGCTAGGCTGCCCGATGGATGCAATGAGACTATTGAAATGATGAAGACTGAGATTTTAAACAAAGCTCGCTATCAGCTTCCCTATTCATCTTTAGAAGTTTGACTTAAACTCAGTACCTAAGAATGGCACATAACCACACAGCAACTACTGGCCTAATGAAGAAATACAAGGTGAGGACCTTGGGGAAGGGGTATTAATACAGAGACTAGACCAAATTTACTTAATGGGTCCTTTAAAATATAAAAATTCACGACCCTGTGTCTATAAACTATCATGTGAATTTTCCATGAGAAAGAAACGTACAAGATTTTCACATGGGTTTTATTCAAACCCTCACTGGAAAATTAAGATCTTGATATCCTATTATTTTAAAATAACATTTAAAACCATATTTGACCTCAATTTCTGTTCAGTTCCCAATATATAATCTTTGTTATTTGCCTTAGTAGTTCATGTTTACAGTTAAATACAAAATTTGGGAGGATTCTGACTTCAATCCATGCTGGAGAACTGTTATGTCTTTATAAACTTTCCAGTAAAGGGGTAGCAGGAGCTGTGTCCATAAGAATTTGGATGTAGCCTGTACACCTTTTCTCCACCCACAATACTCATTTTTCTTACCATTTTTCAGTATCCATTCTTTGGGTGAGACAAAACTGGGGCCCTGAATGTGCACGTTTTACACAACGATTAGAAGCAGGACCACATTCCTATTCAACACTCGGCATGTTAGACACTGCTGACCTGTTGGGCAAAAGGAGGACAGCAATGGCATATGAGCCTCATCCTGGCCTTCCACATAACAATGGATTTCAGTACCCTATATGATCCTCAACACAGATGAATGAATGAAATATTTAGATTAATATTTATTTTTATATTTCCTGTGGACTTCTGGATCTGCTGCTATTTT